CATTAGTGATTATCTCAATTTCGGCTAAAAGAATTGACAAAATCCTACACACTGTGCCTTTAAGTCCGTTAACAGCTAACTAATGGAGTAAGATGGGTGGCTGTGTTGCACAGTGGTAAGGCAGCAGACCTGAAACCAGAAAGTTGCTAGTTTGATTCCTCACCATGCCCACACGTTGAGGTGTCCTTGAGCAAGAAACCTAATTCCTAGCTGCTGCTCCCCATTAGGTGTATCTCATGTTTAATGGATTAAACACAGTCATTGTTTAGGAAGACACTGATGACAATATAAAGCACAAATTATTATTTTTATTATTAGGTCTATCTATTATTAACAGGTTTGTGTCAGTCCCACCAGTCTCCAGCTCAAAGGAAAGGAATACCTGTGACAGACTGAGTGACAGTAGTCTTAGCGGTTAGCTGTTAGCTTCTGCTTATATGTTTAGCTTTAGCTTCTACTAATTTTTTTTTACGTTTAGCAATTATGAATTAGTGAAGCTACATTTTTATCTAGTGGATTATAAATTAGCAAGGCTAACGTTTTGGTTATCTGTGCCCACCACTGCATAACAGGCTCCATGAAAAAAGACCCTGGGGGCTCTGCTGTTGGCAGACAAACCAAAACAAAAAAAAGCAACACAGGAATTTGCCAAAAACAAAGTAAAGCAAGTTTTCTGGGACCGATGAGACAAAATTGGAGCTTTCTGGCTGCAGTCGCATCATTTGTGTGTTTTTCTTAATAAAAGGTACCAACGTTTATCTTTCTCTGGACATCTCAAAAGGTTCGCAGAGATCCACTCCTCACAGAGTGACTGACCTGGAAGCAGATAGAGCAGACGTCATTGTGTTGGTCCAGCTGCTGAKCTGTGGCTCTGGGCAGGGAGTTGATCTTCTTAGCTGCTTCCTGTCTGAGCAGGAAGCTCTTCCAGCCGGACTGAGCTCGGAGCCAAACATTAAAGTACGAGTGGATGATGATGACAGAGGCGCCCATCCAGCTCCACTCCCCAAACAGCGACTCCCAAGTGCCGTAAGCCACCACACAGAGAGCCACCAAGAACTCCAGCACCCTGCTGATGGCGTTCACCCAGTAGATCACTTCATCTAGGCTCTCGATGGGATTGCTGCGAAACAGCTCCACCATGAAGAGAGAATAGATCAGCATCGTACCTGTAACCTAAAAACAACAGAAAAAGATTTATATGTTTCTTCTCTTTCGAGTTCGAGGGTTCTTCAGAAAACATTTGAGGCTGCAGGTCTAATCACTCAAAGAATAAATAATGAAACAATTGGTCCAAATCTGTCTGTCTTCATTTCAAAAGTTAACTCCAGTAGATAACCATAAATATGGGGGTGGCTGCCAAGAAGGATACAAAATGAATCAAAGCATGAGAGCAAAACAGTTATTTTAGTGGTAATTTATATAAAACAAATATAGATCCAATAATTAAACCTCAGAAAAGAGCAATTAGAAAATAATGCTGATTTTTTATCATACAAATCACTTATTCACAATGTCTTCTGTTTTAAAAACACTAGAAATACTATAGAGTTACAAACAATAGTCTTCCTGCTGGTATTCAAAGGTTTCTTACATTAGGGGAAACTATATAAAGTAAGCACAAATGTCAAATCCAGCTGTATTTCAGTTTTGTGTGTTAGACTGTGGAATAATTTAAATGAGGAAGTTAAAGGGATCCCTGATTAGTTGTAACATTAGACTTTATTTGATAAACATATATTTTAACTGTAAAATAAAAGACTAAAAATACTGTAGGATGTTTAGTTTTTATAATTTTTAAACTAAAAGATTAAAAATATATTACCAGTACACAGACAGGGACATTTTATTTACACTAAAGCATTCTGGGTAAATGATGACCTGGATAGGTCCTCAGTGTGAGCGAGCTATATCCACCCTGAAGGTTAATCTTG